CCTGAAAGGGCGGTGCCGCTGACAAAGGCGAGCGCGTGACGAGGAAGCTGGGGCGAGGGGGGGAAGAGGGGGAGAGGATGGGGGGAGGATGGGGCAGGGGGAAAGGAGCTGGGGAATGGAGGAGAGAGGATGAAGGAAAGACGAGTGGGCGGGCGAAGGCGGAGAGTTACTCGCGCCTCCTTCTCATCACACCGATCCTCTCCCGCCCTCCCTCCTTGACCTCTGCCGCGCTCCTAGTTTAGTCCTACCTCATTGTTTCCCTCATCCGCCCCGTCCTCCTCCATGCACAGCGCTCAGACGACAAGCAGAAACTGACGAAGCACCGCCCTGTCCTCATCCTGCCACATCCTCCTCCTCCTCCTCCTCCTCCTCCTCCTCCTCCTCCTCCTCCTCCTCCTCGGTCCTCCCCTGTTTCATCCTCGTCCTCTTTCTCATCCTCGTTCATTATTCCTTCTCGTCCTCCTCCCCCTCCTCCTCCTCTTCCTCCTCCTCCTACACCTCCTCCTCTTCCTCCTCCTCCTCCAACCCCTCCTCCTCCTCCTCCTCCTCCTTCTCCTCCTCCCCCTCCTCCTTCCCCTCTCAATCCACCTCTCTCGCCACAACTCTCTCTCTCTCTCTCTCTCCTCATATATATATGTATATATATATATATATCGTTCTCTCTCCCCTCTACCCCCTCTCTCTCTCCTCATATGTATCCCCCTCCTCCTCCTGCTCCTACTCCTACTCCTACTCCTACTGCTAAACCTCCTCATCCTCCTTTGCTCTCTCCTCCTCTTCCTCCTCCTCCTCCTCCTCAGACCTCTGTTCCTCCTCCTCCCCCTCCGTTTCCTCCTCATCCATCCTCCTCACTTTCCTCCTGCTCTCCTTATCCTCTCTCCTTCCCCCCCCCCCTCCTCCCCCCGTGCCCGGAAGAAGCGGCGCCTTCTCCTCCTCCTTCTTGAGGCCGTCGTCCTACCGCGGACGGGGCGGCAGTGGCGGCCGGGACCGGGGGCGCTTCGCGTCGCTGCGCTCCTGCTCCTGCTCCTGCTCCTACTCATATTCCTATTCCTTCTGCTCGACCTCCTCCTCCTCCTCCTCCTCCTCCTCCTCCTCCTCCTGCTCCTCCTCCTCCTCCTCCTCCTCCTCCTCCTCCAACTCCTCCATGGCTCCTCCTCCTCCTCCTCCTCCTCCTCCTCCTTCCTCCTCCCTCACTCCTCCTCCTCCCTCCTCCCTCCTCCTCCCTTCCTCCTCTCCTCCTCCTCCCCCGCCTTCCTCCTCCTCCTCCTCCTCCCTCCTCCTCCTCCTCCCCTCCTCCTCCTCCTCCTCCTCCTCCTCCTCCTCCTCCTCCTCCTCCTCCTCCTCCTCCTCCTCCTCCTCCTCCTCCTCCTCCTGCTCCTCCTCTTCCTCCTCCTCCCTCCTGCCTGGATCTCGTGCCCCCACGAGGGCGCGCGCGAGGCCAGCCTGGACTCCTAGAGACCTCCAGTCTCCCCCAAGCACCCTTGGGAGGAGAGATGTATGGAAGGGGGGGGAAGATGAGGAGGGGGAAGGAGGTGCAAGGAAGACGATGAGGAAAAGGAGGAAGAGAGGAAGATGGGAGTAGGAGCGAGGAGGGAGGCAGAGAGGGAGAAGGGAGCGCTTCAACCACGAGGACTCTCTGCCCCGCTGAGCAGCAGCCTGGCCACTCCCCGCAATCCCGCCCCAAGCCCCAGGCCTGCCAGGGCCAGTGGGCCACAGGCGCCCACGCGTCTGACTCGCGTGCTCGCCTCTGTAATGTATCCGTGCTTGCTTCTGTGTCCGCCCAGCTGCAGGCACAAACCTCCAAGCACGCCCCGCGGAGAAAAAGTGTACGCCAACGGTCGAACCGAAACAGATGTTGATAGAGATTCCTTCTCGCTGGAGTGTCATCCCTCTGCCTCCCCCATCGCTCCTCCCTCCGAGGTCCTCCATCATCCTGCTCATGTAAGTCCTCCTCCTCCTCTCCAACGTACGGCCAGACTGCTCCGCCTACCTCGTCCTCCCTCCTCCCCCTCCCTCCTGCCTCTCGTCCCTCCAACTCGTCCTCCTCCTCCTCCTCCTCCTCCTCCTCCTCCTCCTCCTAACCCCCTCCTCCACATCATCATCCATCACCACCATCAACATCACCATCACCATCATCATCACAAACACCATCACCATCACCATCACCATCGTCATCATCATCATCATCATCATCATCATCAGCATCATCATCATCATCATCATCATCATCATCATCATCATCATCATCATCATCATCATCATCATCATCATCATCATCATCATCATCATCATCATCATACTCGTCAGCATCAGCATCAACATCAGCATCATCATCACCATGATCGTCATCAGCATCAGCAGCACCATCATCATCAGCATCAGCAGCATCATCATCATCATCAGCAGCAGCAGCAGCATCAGCATCAGCATCAGCATCAGCATCATCATCACCATCAGCAGCATCATCATCAGCATCATCATCATCATCATCATCATCATCATCATCATCATCATCATCATCATCGTCAGCATCAGCATCGTCATCATCATCATCAGCAACATCCTAATATAGTGATCAAGATCAGCGACGAGCTGGAGGGGTACCAAGGATTGCTCGATTCACTTCGCACGCAGTGAGCCGAGGGCAAGAAGAAGATGCAGGCGATCGGCTCCCCCGCCGCCAGCCTGGCGTTGGCGGCCCTGGAGGGCCTGATGATGTGCGACATCGGCGGCGCGGCGAAGAACGAGATCAGAACGTACCTGCTGAAGTGCTCCCCCGAAGAGGCGGAGGCGGAGCCCGACATCGACAAGGCCGACCTGGAGAGCGCCGTGAGTTTCATACGCTTGGGGAGCTGCTACGATTCGCTAAAGATGAAGGTCATAGTCGGCGCCCCCAACTGGACGGGGCGGCTACTCATTCAGAAGGCGTTGCGGGCCGATGACGTAGCGATTCGCCACAGAGGAGTGGCACCAGCGGGCTGGCTCGAGGACGAGGTGGCCACTGGCTCGAGACGATCAGCGAGGGCTTTTGACACCGATACGGTTCGTGAGTGGAGGTATTCTGCCAGCCGCGCGTGCCGCCCCTGCCCGCACGCCCCCCCCCCCCCAGCTTGGAGCGAGGCGAGCATCTGCCAGAGCAGATTGCCAACCCCGAGTCTGCCTATGACGATCACGAGGCCGAAGAACGCGTGGCAGCTGAGTGTTAGGACTAGTTGCTACCCGCATGCCGCCAGGCCTCGCTGTGCAAGCACCCTGCAGGCAGCATGCGCCGAGCAGCGTTCGAGTCACAGCTCTCTGAGACGAGCCTCAACATTTGTAAGTTGGCATGCACAAGTAGCTCCTTTCTCCTTGGCGCTGAGGCCGTTGGGAAACAACAGCATCGTCATCATCAGCAGCATCGTAATCAGCATCATCATAAGCTGCATCATCATCAGCATCAGCATAATCATCCTCATCCTCATCCTCATCCTCATCATCATCATCATCATCATCATCATCATCATCATCGTCGTCATCATCATCAGCATCATCATCATCATCGTCATCAGCATCATCATGGTCATCACTACTATCAGCATCATCATCGTCATCATCAGCATAATCATCGGCAGCATCGTCATCACCATCATCAGCAGCATCATAATCACCAGCAGGATCAGCATCATCAGCAGTATCATAATCAGCAGCAGCATCCCACCATCATCATATTCTTCATCATCGTCATCATCATCGCTACCAGTACCAGCATCAGCATCATCATCAGCATCATCATGGCCATCAGCATCACCATCATCATCATCGTCATCATCATCGGTATCACAATCAGCATCTTCATCACCATCAGCAGCATCATCGGCATTCTCATCAGTATCACCAATATCATTATCGTCATCATCATCATCATCATCATCATCATCATCATCATCATCATCATCGTCGTCGTCGTCGTCGTCATCGTCAGCATCAGCATCGTCATCCTCATCACCGTCATCATCAGCCTCATTATCATCATCGGCATCATCAACATCATGATCAATGCCTTCCGTCCTCCCAACCTCCCTCCTGCTCTCCCTCCCATCCTCCTCCCCCTCATCATACTGCTCCACAGGGCCGTTGGGAAAAAATCAGCATCCTCATCATCAGCAGCTGCATAATCAGCATCATCATCATCATCAGCATCAGCATCATCAGCATCATCATCATGATCATCATCATGATCATCATCATCATCATCATCATCATCATCATCATCATCATCATCATCACCATCACCAACATCCTCATCGTCAGCATCGGCATCACCATCAGCAGCATCATCAGAATCACAGTCAGCATCAGCAGCATCAGCATCATCAGCAGCATCAGCCTCATCATCACATCATCATGGTCATCATCATCATCATCATCATCATCATCAGCATCAGCATCGTCATCATCATCACCACTATATGTATCATCATCAGCATTATCATCGCCAGGATCAGCATCATCACCGTCATCGCCATCATCAGTATCGTCATCATCGTTATCACAATCAGCATCTTCTTCATCATCATCATCATCATTATCAGCATCAGCATCATCAGTATCATCAGTATAAGAAGTATAATCCTCGTCATCCTCACCATCGTCGTCATCATCAGCATCAGCATCGTCATCATCATCATTACCGTCATCATCAGCATCTGTATCATCATAATCGTCATGATCATCCTCATCAACATCATGATCAACATCGTCCTTGCTCCCGACATCCCTCCTCCTCCCTCTCCCGTCCTCCTCCCCCTCGTCATATTGTTCCACATCCTCGGCATCATAATCCAGATCGTGATCATGAGTGTCATCCTCCTCCTTATCCTCCTCCTCCTCCTCCTCCTCCTCCCCCCACATCCCTCTCCTCATCATCATGATCATCAGCATCATCATCATCATCATCATCATCATCATCATCATCATCATCATCATCATCATCATCAGCATCACCATCATCATCGTCGTCAATATCGACATTGTCGTTATCGTCGACATCATCATCATCATCCTCATCATCATCATCAGCAGCAGCATCATCATCATCGTCATCAGCATCATCCTCACCATCATCATCACGTATCATCACCATCATCATCGCCAATCATCACCATAAACATCATCATGACCCCCATCATCATCATCATCATCATCATCATCATCATCATCAGCATCATCATCATCATCATCATCATCAGCATCATCATCATCATCATCATCATCATCGTCGACGTCATCATCAGCATCAGCAGCATCACCATCATCATCAGCAGCATCAGCATCAGCACCATCGACAGGAGCAACAGCATAATTATTATCATAATCAGCATCATCAGCATCATCAAAAAACATGATCGCGATCGACAGCAACAACATCAGAGTTACGTAACATCACCATCGTCATCAACATCGTCATCCGCATCATCAGCAGCAGCATCATCGTCAGCGGTATCATCAGCATGATCATCGCCATAGTCATAATCAGCAGCAGCAGCAGCAACACCATCGCCAGCAGCACCACCAGATTCAGCATCATCAGCATCATCAGTATCATCAGCATCATCATCACCATCATGATTGCCAACATCATCAACATCATCATCCCTCCTGGCTGGTCCTGCTTACACGCCCTCCTGTCCATCTCTTCCCCCCACCCACGCGGTTGCCGGCTGCCAGGGACTATGGTACTACCTTCATCCCCCCCCAGCCTCTCCCTCCCTCGCCCGTCACCCGCCCCCCCTCCCTCTCCCCTCCTCCTTCTACTGCCCCTGCTTCCTCCTCCTCCTCCTCCTCCTCCTCCTCCTCCTCCTCCTCCTCCTCTCCCGTCTGCTTCTCCATCCTCCGTCCTCGCCTCCATCATCTTCTTCGTTTTCCTCACCATCCTCGTCGTCAACCTCCTCCTCCTCCTCCTCCTCCTCCTCCTCCTCCTCCTCCTCCTCCTCCTCCTCCTCCTCTCCTCCTCCTCCTCCTTCTCTTCCTCCTCCTCCTCATCCTCCTCCTCCTCCTCCTCCTCGGCTTTACCGCTAGTATCGACGGCAGGCACCTGCAGAAGGTTTGCCCGCCCCAGAGGTCCAAGAAAGGTCAGCAGAACCTTGTGCGCATCTCTCAAGGTCGCCACCCGTGCCCACAGGGGGCCCCCGAGGCGACCAGGCGAGTTTTGTAACTGGTTTTTCGCCTGCCCTGGCGGCGCAGAGGCTCGTGCTCCTAGTGCGCGTCTTGAGTTCCATATCTCGAGGTGCGGAGGCTCGTGTTCCTCCTGCGCCTCGGCCCTGTGCGGAGGCTCGTGTTCCTCCTGCACAGGGCGTGCTGCCCTGGACGTGCGGAGGCTCGTGTTCCTTCAGCACTCCAGGGGCCTTGTGGTACAGGGACGAGGTCCCCATGGGTCACTCCTGGTCACTCCTCCCCATCCGTCCTCCTCCTCCCCGTTGCTCCTCCTCCCTCCCCGCGCGGCTGCCGCCCCCGCCCGTGCTGCCCGTGCCCGCCCAGGAGCCCCGTGGGGGCTGCCCCCCTGGCAGCCTCGTCCTTGCACCGCTTGACGCCCAGCGCCTGCAACGGGGGCGCGCGCGCGTGCCAGCGCCCCGCCCGGCGCTCGGATGGGGGGGAGGGGGCGGCAGGAGGAGGGTTGGGGTCGGAATCGGACTCGTGGAGCTCGGGCGTCTACTCGAGGGCTCTTGCTTGCGGCCCATCGAGACCGCGCCAGCCTGAAACTCTGAGCGGCGAAGCTCTCTGGGCCGCCTGCCCTGCGGGCGGTCTGCTGCTCTCGGACAGGGCCGCACTGCCCTCTTAGGGGCAACCCCCATCTCTCGGGAGCGGCCAAGAGGGGGGTGTCCAAGAGGGGGGGGGGGGTGCAGCTCATGACCGGCGGCATGTGCGCGGCCCAGCGGGGGGGCCAGGGACGTAATGAACTAAGAAGAGGCGCCATGAAATCTGGGGAAATATCATGGCCCCCGCCATGATATCCACCCCCGCCTGGTCATCACCCCCCTCTTTTCCGCCCCCGAAGCCCTGGCACGCAGCCACGAGGGCGCCCCCGGGGCACCGACGGATTGCGCTCAGCCTCAGGCTCCCCGCGAGGGACGAGGGCGCGAAGCAACGAAGGACGAGACGGAGGCGGCGGCGACGGGGCTCCCCCTGCACGGGCCCCTGTGTGGGCTGCTTTCGGCGGGGGGGTCTGCCCCGCTGGAGGGCAACAGCTCGAAGATCCTGCGCCGTGCCAGAGCACCGCTCTTGGCACTCCAACGCCACGAGTCAGCCTCACTGCTGCGCCCCGACGATCCTGAGCCGTGCCGGAGCACCATCTCTGGAACCCGAACGCCGTGCATCAACGAAACGGCTGCGCCCAAACGTCATCTCTGGGACGTGAACCATGAGAACCCTCAAAATCCTCACAAGCTTCTAAAACGAATGTGCGCGGTAATAAAGCGAGAACAAAATTTTGAGAAAGAAAGGCCATTCATCCGTTGATTTCTTACAGATGTTTTAAACGGATGCGCGCAGAACTAAGGCGAGAACCACATTTTGAAAAGCCTGCCCTCAATCCGTGAAACTCCTGCAGTTTGCTCAAACGAATAAGCGTGGCGCTATGGCGAGAGTCACATGTTGAACTAGACCTGTCCTCAACCAGTGAATCTCTTGCAGATGTTTAAAGCGAATGTGCGAGGCGCTACGGTGAGAGCCACATCTTGGGTACCACCCGCCCTCCATCTGTGAAACGGCTCCAATCTCTTTAGAGCGGATGTGCGCGCCACAGGAGGGGGCGGAGAAGGAGGAGGAGGCGGAGGAGGGGAGGGGACAGGAGGAGAGGGGCGGGGCGGGAGGAGGATACTTGAAGTGACATGGCTTAGGGGCGCCTGAACCCCACTGGCGGAGCCAGAAGTCTGGCATCAGAGGTCTGGCATACCACCTTGGTGTGCCAGCCGCGAACAGGACACGTCATGCTTCGAGTGCGACCTGTTCAGCTTGAACCTCGTGCCTTGTGGGGCCTGCGAGGAGGAGGGGGGAAAAGAAGGGAGGATGGGCTAGGAGAGAGGCGAGGTGATTGGAGGGGAGAAGGAAGAGGAAGAGGGGCCGGAAGGAGGAGGAGGACGAGGAGGACGACGACGACGACGACGACGACGACGACGACGAAGGGGGAGGACAGGAAAAACAAAGGCGAGGAGGAAGAGAGGACGAGGAGGAGAGGACGACAAGAGGGGGAAAAGGGGGCAAGGAGGAGCCAGACGTGGTGGAGGAGGCTGTCGAAGGAAGAGGACGTGAGGGGGAGAGGAGGACGAGGAGGACGACGACGAGGGGGGAGAGGAGGAGGCATACCTTTATCTTGCCAAAGGCTGCTCCTCCTCTCCCCCGTCGGTCTTCTGTCTTCCCTCCTCCCCTCCAGTCCTCTGTCCCCCCTTCTCCTCTGGCGTGGCCTGGGGGTCGACGCCGAGCAACATCAGGGAGTGGCTCTCCTTGTAGCGCACCTCCAGGGTCCTGCTCAGGCATTGGGAGGACAACGACGGCTACGACGACAACGGCGACGACGAGGACGAGACTGACGGCGAAGACGAGGGATGTAGAAGATGTGAAGGAGGGACGCTGGCGGCGGGAGTGAAAAGAGAGAGAGGCATGGGGGAGGGAGGCTGGAGGAGTGGAAGGGCGAGACGTGCAATTTTCGTTGTGCTGGAGGCCAGCGCGGCCGCGTGGGCATGCCTCGGGAGCGGCCAAGAGGGGGGTGTCCAAGAGGGGGGGGTGCAAATCATGACCGGCGGCATGTGCGCGGCCCAGCGGGGGGGGCCAGGGACGTAATGAAATAAGAAGAGGCGCCATGAAATCTGGGGAAACATCATGGCCCCCGCCATGATATCCACCCTCCCAAAGTCATCACCCCCTCTTTTCCGCCCCCGACGCGTGCATGCCACTGTGCCACACCACATCGCCGGGGCGAGCACGCGTGAGGCCTCCCGCTGCGGCATCGAGCTCGGGCACGGCCGCCTCGTGGAGGACTCCCCCCCGGGAACGGAGGCGGGGGCGAGGCATGCAGCCTGCCCCATTCCTGCCCTCCTCCTCCTCCTCCTCCTCCTCCTCCTCCTCCTCCTCCTCCTCCTCCTCCTCCTCCTCCTCCTCCTCCTCCCTCTCCAGACGCTTGGGCTCAAGCTCGCTCCGCAGGCGCCCCCTGGGTTTCGCCGCAGCGTGCCCGATGCCGGCGGCGGTGGGAGCCCGCGCCGCGGCGCTCGAGGTGGCGCGCGGCGCCCTCCTCGCGGCGCGCTCGGCGACGCGGCTCACAGCGGGCCGCACGGAGTTGCGCGAGCCCCTCCGCGAGAGCAGGGCGGCCGGGGGCATGCTGCGGGCGGCGGCGGCCATGCTGGCCAGAGCCTCCTCCTCCTTCCCCCCTCCTCCTCCTCCTCCTCCTCCTCCTCCTCCTCCTCCTCCCTCCTCCTCCTCCTCCTCCTCCTCCTGCTCCTGGCTCCTCCTTCCTTCCCCCCTCCTCCTCCTCCTCCTCCTCCTCCTCCTCCTCCTCTCCTCCTCCTCTCCTCCTCCTCCTCCTCCTCCTCCTCCTCCTCTCCTCTCCTCCTCCTCCTTCCGCCTCCCCCTCCCTCCCTCCCCCTCCCCCTCCCCCTCCCCCTCCTCCTCCTCCTCCTCCTCCTCCTCCTCCTCCCCTCCTCCTCCTCCTCCTCTCCTCCTCCTCCTCCTCCTCCTCCTCCTCCTCCCTCCTCCTCCTCCTCCTCCTCCTCCTCCTCCTCCTCCTCCTCCCCCCTCCCCCTCCACCCTGGACCCAAAAATGCTGCCGTCTCTTGGGGCGCGCAGCCTTTCCTTCCGCCAGCATCCGCCGGCCCTGCGCAGTCTTCCCCGCCAGCGGAGCCGTCCCCGCGTTGCTTCCGCCGCCTCCTGCCGCGCTCCTGCCGCCTTTACGCCGAGGAATGACCACGAAAAAACATACAGTCGGGGCGTTGACCTAAGGAACCCTAAATAAGGAGCGAGGCCCCTTTTGTCCATCAGTTAACCTTCGATATCCTTTCGAAAGCATAAGGAAAGCCTGAGACAAGCTGTGAAACACCTAAGGAACGCGGAGCCCCTCCCCAACGAAAAGGGTTCCTTCTTCAGGGCCCCGACTGTAGTCCCAATCCCCAAAATCGCGGATTTACCGAGGACTCGAACGTCGGCCAAAGATTTCGGGGCATGGTCTGCGCTCCCTGGCAAAACCCTGCCCCGAGATCTCCATCCCCGAAGCCTCGAGGACCCTGCGCCTCGTTTTGGCCCTCGCGTTTTCAGGACTGGGCGCCTGTTTGGAGCTGGCGACGGAAGAGATGCCAGCTCCGGCAATCCTCGAAGGCGAGGCCTTTTTTTTCTGGAACGTCCCATGCGGAGAAAGAGGGCAGCCCACGACGCCGTGCTGAGGGTCGACTACGGGCCTCGCGCAGGCGCAGCGCTGTCGCCTCGGGGGGGGGGGTACAGCGGCGAGGTTGCAGCTTGCTCCCGTGCCCTGCAATACATGACCTCGCAGTAGCCTGCCTGCAAATTTCATTCGGGGATGGACAGAACCCCCTTTAGTAAAACGTGGTTTAGTGAAAACGACCTGAGGCCCAAACTTGGCGGGCGCAAGCCTGGAAAATAACGGCCACGGCGCCCTCTCGAGAACCGAAAACGGACGATTCACTAATCGACGTGTCACTGTTGGGGGTTCTGTCCACCCCCGATTCATATCTCAGAGGGGTGTGTCTCATTGCATGTTTTTCCGTCGCCGTCTCCGCTCGTGGGGCGCGTGCGGCCTCCGCGCGCGATCGGACCTGACCTGACCTGACGCGTGCCCTGCATCGGCGGGCGCAGCATGCAAAAAGCAGTGTCCGAGGGGCGAGCGGCTTCGCCTCACAGGTGCACAGCGGCGAATTCGCTTGGAGGTGCAGGGATGCAGCAAGGGCACGGCCTTCTACAGCCTTCTCGGACGATGACAGTACAGCAAGCGAGCCTGGGCAACATCAACCATCAAGTGATGAATATTCCCCGCGGCAAGCACTGGGCATGATTATTTGGTGGTAACTCATGGAAGCCTCCCATACCATCTAGTCGGCTCTTGCGAATCGACGCTAATCGACGCTAAATCGACGCTGATCGACGCTGGCTGACGCTACATCGGCGCTATCTCCTCGACTCCCAGACGCTAATCGACGCTGACCGACGCTAAAGACGGATAACAGGGTACGCCAGGCGCCCATGACTTGTTACCGAAAGATTACTAGACGCACGCGTATCACGATACGCAAGCCAGGAGTTGCCGCATTGCGGTATGCCGCAGGCTGTGCCAGGTGGGGCGTCTTGGTCAGCATGGGTATACGTTTGTTACCGAAAGATTACTAGACGCACGCGTATCGCGATACGCAAGCCAGGAGTTGCCGCATGGCGGTATGCCGCAGGCAATGTGCCAGGTGGGGCGTCTAGGTCAGCAAGGGTATACTCCAGTTTTCGTAATAAAAGGGAGGGGGTCTGGACCCTCCAAGACAAGCCATTTCAGACCTCCCCCGTGGGAGAACCCTCCAAAGCATCGTCTCCAGACCCCCCAGGCCCTCCAAGATAGCCTGGAAGAGACCCCCCCCGAAATGAGACCCCCCTCCCTTTATTACGAAATCTGGAGTACGGGGCTGACGGCCGAGAGCGGCAACCCAGATGCAGCCAGGGAGGAGTAAGGTTCGGGGAAGCAGAAGGGAGAGAAGGTGGAGCAGCGAAAAGACCACTCCAGATTTCGTAATAAAAGGGAGGGGGTCTGGACCCTCCAAGACAAGCCATTTCAGACCCCCCCCCCGTGGGAGAGCCCTCCAAAACATCGTCCCCAGACCCCCCCAGGCCCTCCAAGATAGATTGGAAAAGACCCCCCCCCGAAATGAGACCCCCCTCCCTTTATTACGAAATCTGGAGTAAACAACGACCCCCAAAAAACGTGTGACGAAGGAAGACGGAAGATTCCTTCCATCGGGTTCGATCTGTGAGGCATCACTCCCTCTCCGAAGTCTAGCGAGATATTCCTCCAACAATGGCTTCATATTCTCCAGATGTGGGTTCCCACTGGCTTGGCAGATACAAGAGCGTCACGCAACCATGGTTGTGGCACGCTAGTCGCTAGTGCCAAGAGCCGTTCGTGGACGCCCCAAGAGTGTGACTGTGAGCGAGCCTTCCATCCACCCTCATCCATTGGAGAATCAAGATCATGCAATTGCGCAAGTCCCAATGGCACGGGGCGTGAAAATAACGAATATGGTCATGGCCGTCGGTCGTCGGTGCCAATCCACCGCATCGCACGCATGTATGGGCTGACCCAATATGACGGATTACGGGAACCCTGAACCCAAAAACGTTTTCATATCTTGGGGGCGCATCTTTTACTTCCGCCGCCTTCCGCCGCCTTTCTGCCGCCCTTCCGCCGGCTTCCACCGGCGGAGGCGGCCTGGTCTTACTTCCGCCGACCTTCCGCCGCCTTTCCGCCGCCTTCCGCAGAGGAAGAGATGACAGCTCCTTCGATCCTCGAAGGCGAGGCCCTTTATGGAACGCCCCATGCATGGGCGAATCCATAGCGACCTCCAGCACCTGCTGCTCCATAGGCTGGAGTGGTGTTCTGCGCGATTACATGGCGAGGCCGCTGTCGAAGGAATGCCTTTCCCAAGGTGCGGCTTGGTCAGCCGTCCCCCGGCCCGTGTTGTGTGCTGCACCTTCGGGGATGTGCTCTGTCCCATCGAATGGCCTTTTGCCCCCCCCCCCACCCACAAAAAAAAATCGCGTGGAGTCGACGAATCCACGTCGATCCCGCGTCGGCCGCAAAAGAAGACCGCTGGTCACAGGACCGGGCAGCTTGGCAGCGACTCTTAGCTCCAGCAGGCGGAGCGCGTCGGAAGCCAAGTGGGGCCCAGAGGAATGGGAAAGCGGGAGGGGAAGAAGGGAGATCGGGTGCTGCTAGAAGTGCCCCCTAGCCCAAGGTGCCCCCCGGATTACCGGGGTGGCCCAGATGGCCTCCGGAGCACTCCTCACGAGACCCGGGCACCCTGGGCCAGGGGCACCTGTGGCAACACCCGAAGGAAGGGAAGAAGGGGAGGACCGCGGGACGACAGGAACGCCCTCAGAACGCGAACTGCAAACTATTCTCGAGGAACAAGAACGGCGCATACATACATCAAATGTCGGGTCGGGCGAAAGGGGGGGGATAGCAAAGGGGGGGGTTGAGAATCAGCTCGCGTAGCTGATTTTCCCGGCGCCTCCCGGCGCCGGAGGCGACCATGTATCGAGGAATGGGCCCCTCGGCGAGGCCGAAACCAGCTGCATGCAGCAAATTTCGTACCCCCCCCTTTCCCAATCCCCCCCTTTCGCCCGACCCTACAACCTTCCGTAGCTGCCCGGCCGCCCTCCCCCCTTTTTCACATCGAACGCGCGCCAGTGCACGATCTCGTGTTTCTCCTTCCTCCGCCCGTTGGAGCCCCCGCCTTGCAGCCTTCATCCAAATGGCATTTTCGACCATGGTCGAACTACCATTTTCTTTATGCATTTCCGGCACATGGCCGAACTACATATGTGGATGGAGGCAAGGAGGGGGAGAGGGAGGAGGAGCGGCAGCGTCGTCAAGCTGCCGGCCAGAGATCCGAATCAGCCCAGCCCGGCTGGTGAGAAGGTAGTGGGTGGGGGGGTCAAAGAACTTCCACGCTGTAACCGCTCCTCGAGCCAAAATGGTTACGCGATGGGAAGATCATTGCGAATGACCCGGAGTCGAAACTGTGTATCGCTCCGGGTTGGACTCTATGTCACAATTCCCACCAACCACCGCACTACTTCGGTTGTAAAATCTGCAACATTTGCGAACGCCTACAACCTTCCGTAGCTGCCCGGCCGCCCTCCCCCCTTTTTCACATCGAACGCGCGCCAGTGCACGATCTCGTGTTTCTCCTTCCTCCGCCCGTTGGAGCCCCCGCCTTGCAGCCTTCATCCAAATTGCATTTTCGACCATGGTCGAACTACCATTTTTTTATGCATTTCCGGCACATGGCCGAACTACATATGTGGATGGAGGCAAGGAGGGGGAGAGGGAGGAGGAGCGGCAGCGTCGTCAAGCTGCCGGCCAGAGATCCGAATCAGCCCGTATGAGCACTGACGCGAGCCCGGTATTAGCACGCAGAGGTCCGCATGCATTTCTTGCATCTCAGGTCCGGAGGTGCAGACTCCGCGTAGGAGAAGTCGGACAAGCCGAAGTTCCAGCCGCAGCGCGCCTTCCATTTAAATATTGGAAGGTCGACGAACCGGCAAGTATCCGGTATGTGGTGAACGTTCGAATCCGACACGACGAAGAGAGGGCCTCGCCTGTCTCTCGTCTCCTGGCACTGCTTGATGAAAGCGAGGACCTCCTGCTCCTGGCTGCTCATGTTCGCAACCCTGTCCTTCATCGCGCCCAGCTGCTGTCCCAGCTCCCCGATGGTGCGCTGCGCGGCTGCGAAGCGCTCGTGGACCAGGTGCGCGGCATGGGCGCGACGATATTCATCCGCCAGAGTGAGCAGAGGAGCCTCCGACACGTACCTGAAGACCACGTCCGAATTCCAGCGAGCCACAAGCTGAATGACTGCTATAGAGACTCCTTGCGACGCCAGCCACTGCGCCCCAGTGACTCGCAGAGAATGCCCACCCCACAGGCGGTAGCCTCCCTGGTCCACGATAGGGAGGCCCAGCTTGGAAGCGATCGCTTCGAAAGTCTTGACCACAGCCTCCTTGGTAGCCGTGCCGCCTGTCTCTGTGGGGAACAGCGGCGTCGACGGGTCGGTCCAACCCCTGCTGTCAAGGAAGTCCAGCTGACGGTGGGTAGCACAGCATGCGCAGGGCATAGACCTCGTGAGTGGCCGAGGGTGCCCGCAAACGCATGGCCAAGTTCGAGACTTCCCCAAGGCTCTCGGGTCGTTGTTCGTGCTCGGGAGAAGCCAAGTAACAGAGGGAGCCTCACGATCAGCAGTGATGTGCTGTCTCAAAGCCAACGATATCTCGACCTCCCTGCAGCAGAAGAACGATCCAGCTTCGACCACCCGCCCGGGGGCCGCCGGGCCTCCCCGGGCAAGCGCGGCTTCGTCCAACTCCAGGGCCATGAGCGCCGGGAGCGGAAACGCAGCGGCCTGATGGGCGGGCCCCAAGCCGCGATTGGCCGCCCGGCTGGCGAGCTTCCGGGCCCTGTCCAAGATGTCCGTCCAAGCGAACCCCATCTCCACATGTTTGTCCTTTGCGCGGGACATGTACTGGTCGAACGAACGGTAGCCTCCCTCCTTCATCATGGCCGCGACCGCCTCGATGGACTCGTCGGTCAAAGGGAAAACAGGGACCGAGCCTCCCGGCCCTTCGGAGCGATGAGAAAACCACTCCTTGTGAAAGTCCTCCCACGTTTTCAAAAGAGTATCACGGTTCGTAACAGTGGAGCTGAAATGAGCGTCGCGCAGTCTGCGTAGTGCCTGCTGCCGCGTCCCCGCCGTGGCAGCCGCCCCTATCGCTCCGCTACGATCCCCACGGCGGTATCCCGCGAGTCGAGGGGCATCGGCGCGATCGCCAGTGAGATAGCGAGCAGCAGGGCCCGCCGAGGCAGCCTCTTCAGGCGAATGCGCTCTAGGCTGAATCTGCGGTGTCGTCGGCGCTGGGACTGGCCGCACCGACGTGGCAGCATCCTGGCCAGAGGGTGCTTCTGGCGGCGCTGGGGAACTCCTGGGCGGCGACCGTGTTCTCCCTCGAGCCGGACCTGCCGGCGCTTCACCGGCCAAAGGGCGCGGCGGCGCCGAGCTCGACGAGGGCGTCCGCGCCCTCCAAGATATTCGCGCCAGAGCATGCATTTTTCCCTGGAACGGCGGCATCCGGGGAAGTACTGCAAAACAGCGCCAGGATCAGAGTCAAGAGTCCTGCAGGGCGGCGTACTCCATGAACGGCTGCATGCCTGACGTGATGCGGACTCGCTTCATGCGCCTGCACGTCGCGACAGGCTCGAGCCCATGAATCTGAGCCCAAATGCCTAATGAGTGCGAGCCCTGGAGGCTCGCTGACGATGGTCACGCGGGAGGGCGACGACAGAGCAGGCCACGCCGGCGGCGTCGACGCAGCATGATTGGGCAGCGTATTACTCCACGCCGGCATCAGAAGGTCTTTCCTGCGGCCGCACAGCGAGGCGCCATGGGCAGCAGGCGCCAGCGCAGGCGAGCGGGCTGATGAATGGTCGCCTGAGCTGGCCAGCAGGACTCGCTCGGCACTCTCGCAGCATGTCTGCCGCGTCCGGCGAGAGCAGGCGCACGCAATTACAGGCGGTGCCTGCACTACGATGCGACGTAGGGCGGGACTGGTTGAAGGGCAGCCGGGGTCCGACGGCACCAGTTCACCGCATTTCGACTGCAATTGCAGGCACACCTGCACTACAGTACGACCTCCGGGACGGCGCGACGCAGCCCGGGGCGGGCTACCTGCTGCCCCCCCCCCTGCTGGACTAACGCGTGCCGTACGAACTTGCAGGCAGTGCCTGCGCTACGATGCGGCACCGGCGCGAGAGGCAGTAGCGCAGCCGAGGGCCGACGGCGCTAGTCCTCCACCATCCGCCGCCTGCATTTGCAGGCAGTGCCTGCACTGCAGCGCGACGCCGGGGGGTGGGCAGGGCAGCGTGGCCCAGAAAGCGACGACATGCCGAAACCTGCGTGACGCAACGAAAATGTCACGAAATTCGGCTTCAAAATGCGGCGTGCCGCCCATTCCACTTCACCTCCCCGGCATGCCTCCCCGCCCCTCCCAAGCGCTCTCTGTGAGAGGGGAGGGGGAGAGGGAGGAGGAAGGTGGAAGACCGCACGGCGCATGCATTTACAGGCGCGCCTGCACTTCATGCGCGGTCGGGGGCGCAGGCGGGTTAACGGAGTGACCCCCCCCCGGCGCTAGGTGGACGACCTCGCGGCGCATGCATTTACAGGCGCGCCTGTGCTGCAATGCGAGGCCGCCGGCGCAGGTGGGTTGACAAAGGGGCCCCCCCGCCTCTATGCGAGCCTGGCCCGCGCGGTCACAGCTGGAGTGGAAAAGGAAAAAAAGAATGCCTCAAGCAGGCTCACGCACGCTGGTCGGCGCCCCCTCCCCCATGGCCGCCTGCGCCGCGGCGTTGTCCAGCGCGTGGAAGAAGTCGTTCTTTCTCGAGGGCCTCGGCGAGCAGGGCGGGAACCGAGAACGCGACGCCGGGCTCGTACTTCCGGCTGAGGGCGCCCACGATCTTGCACGCGACCCCCGGGGAGTGGACGCAGAAATCCGGCTTGAACGATGCGCCCCCGAGGTCGAGCGCCAACTCCCTCGCTAGGAGGTTGGTGGCCGCGCCTCGTCCACGCAGGGAGCCGACCATCGTAAGCGCCGACGCGTTGTCCGAGCGGACCTCGACGGTGACCCTGGCCTGCTGCCAGTGGGATTTCCACGTGCGGAGTCCGATGAGAAGATTGAGGGTTTCCCACGTCTGCTGGCCGAGGTGCGACCCGACAGCGTGGCCTAGGATGGCGGCCTCGGCCCCCCCAATCGGCGTGGCGTACCACTCCAAAATCCGGCCGTCAATCATGAGGAACGCGCCCATGCCCCAGGGAGAGGCGTTCCCGACGATCCTGAGCTTCGGGCCACGGTTCAAGAACGCATCGGCCCTGTAGACGATGTTCATGGACCCGGCGACGCGCCGCATGAAGGCGAGGAGCCAACAAAGCGTGTGTCGAACCATCTTGGTCCAAATGCAATTCTTTGGAGCGTCTCCGCATTGTTCTTCTTGTCCGAGCTTGAGGGCCGCCCAGAGCTCGGACAGAAACGGGCGCCACACCCAAATGACAGAGGCGAAGTGCGACGCGAGGCCGATGAAAGATCGCAGCTCCTTGATCGGCAAGACGTTCCTGCCCAAATAGTCTACGACCATGGATTGGAGCTCGTCGCATTTCTCCTTCGAAATCGTGACGACCACAGCGTCGGAGGAGATAGTGAACTTGCATCCTATCCAATTGACCTCTGCCCCCCGCTGGGCTTTGCGAAAAGCCAAGGGAAAGCCCAGGACAAGCCATGTGAGAACAATGAGTGAATAGTCCCGCGTATTGCTGTGCAAGGGTCGTCGACGTACAGCTGCAGACGGGCAGTCGGCCCTGCCCGGGGCACGTCCGCCGCCGGCTGCATGAACAGGCTCTGCGTGCACCGGACGAGGAGCGATGCAACTCCGGCCCAGGCCAACGGGCCGTTCCTGGAGCCTTGCGCAGCCCTCTGGTACACCAAGTACTGGTGACCGACGCGGCCCACAAAATGCCGGCGCTCCTCGAACAAGAGAGGGATGTTCCAGAAGGCGTCGACGAAGTCGAGGATGGAGAATTCGATGTCCTCGCCCCCTGCGCGGCCGTCCTGGGCCATCCCGGCAGCCATGTGGGTGAGGACGTCCCGGACTGCATCTGACCCCCGCGGCAGAGGGACACGGTGAGTCTGCCTCGTGCACGATGTCACTCCGGATTGCCGGAGATCGAGGATAAGCCTTCGCTTGATCTTACCATGACGTTCGCGGACCCTGACTGCGAACCGGGAAATCACCGGCTCCGCACCCAGATACTCTCTGAGCTGCTGCAGCGTGTCGCACTCGTGGAGGTAGCCCTTGGAGACGAACTCCTTGACCTCCTCCGCGGCCTCCGCGTCCCTATCGAAGGAGGCGTAGTTCTCGAACTCCTCCGGCGGCAGGTAGGTGTCGCGGGGCATGCCAGGACACAACGGTGCCTCGGGCCGTGGGAAGATCTTGTCCACGGCGGCCGTGTCCGCTTCGAGGCCTGCCGGGGCACCTTCCCATAGCCACCGTGCTGCGTCGGCGCCAGGGTCGCCAGCCACTTTCGCCCATCGGTGAAGCAAGTGCCCCCTGATGCAGGTCGAGTAGACCCCTGTGTCGATTTCGCAACCTGACTCGGCCTGCAGGATGCGCTGGAGGCCGCGGCGCGCCGTGTCCACCGAAGATGGGCAGGGGCCCCGGTGGTCGGCGGCGGCGCCGCCACTCGCCTGCTGCGACACGGCGAGCAGGATGTCGTGCTCGACGTCCGGGCGCCTGTCCAAGAACTTGTCGAAGTACTGTCTCAGCAGCGGCCCAAGGCGGCAGTGGCCGTTGATCTTCGCCACGGCGTCTGCGGCGTTCCTCAAGCCTCCCAGGGGCTGCTCGTCTTCCGCCCTGCGCCGCTGCTTCGGGTCCTCGCGGGGCCCGCGCAGCGGCGCGCTGAAGGTGACCGGGGCGCCCCCGGGGGAAAATCACCCCCCTGGCTGACCGTGCGCCGTCTCGCGCGGTGCGACTGCATCCTTCGCGGGCGAAACACCGCGAGCCGCTGCGCGAATGGCCTCGGCCAGGCGCTGGTGCAGCTCCTCCACAGAGGCTACGGCCGATGGGAAGCCAGCCGCGGGCACGGACCCCCGGAGAATTGATGACAACTGCGGCCCGACCCCGATCGTGACGTCACCGACTCCGGCGAGTTCCATGAGGGACTCCGCCTCCGGCAACGCGAACATCGATGGCGATCCCGGGGGCTGCGCTGGACTCCGCAGGCCCCATGGAATGCCCAGGGCGGAGCAGAGCCTCCCGATGTCGAAAGATCGGATGGCGAGCAAGGTGTCGCCCCTGACACCGTCCTTCTCCTGCGGCGTGAGTCCACGCAAGCCATAGATCTCCGGCGGCCCGCAGCCGCGGAGCCGCTTCCGCGCGCCCCCGCGCCCCTCCGCGCGCGGCCCAGGAACGGAGACGTCGAACGTCGTGCGCGGGGGTTCCAGGTGAACGGCCGCGAACGTGCCGCACCGGATTTCCTCGAGGACGCCCTCAAACACGATGTCCTCCCTGATGTCGTGGACACCACCGTTGTTGCTGACGCGGCGGGTGTCCGCGCAGCAGCCGAGCTCGTCCAGGCGCGCTCCAAGACTGTCTGCGTCCCCAGACAGCACGAGCACACGCGGGCGTTGAGCGCTCTGCATCAGGGCATCATTGGGCACTGGGCCCTCTTGTTTTGGCTTCGCCAAGGGCTATGAAGGGACGCGTGGATATTTTTCCTTTTCGAATTTCATTTTAGTGGTCTCGTGCCAAACAACGACAGATCTTATTGAACTGATCTGCTCAACAAAAAAACAAACGCGCACAAAATCCACTGCGGATGCCCTCAGAAGAAAACGAACAATGGAATGCTGCATAAGCGGCGCCCGCGTTCCGCCCGCAGTCCAACTGCAGACAAAACCACAAACCAGCAGGTCCCGAGAAGGATTGCAAGCAGGCCCTAGGGTCCCAAGACAGGCTTTGTAGGGGTCCAAAACAACTTGCAGACCTGTTTCCTCGCATATGTCCTGACGCGTTTCGGCCGTGGTCCGCGGGATTATACTGTTCATCCGCCTTTTTGCCTTCATGTCCGACGCCTCGCGTGTTTCCGCCAGCCATGGCAAAAGCAATCGCCAGGCGAGTTGCCTCGATCAGCATGTGTAGCAGCATGCGGCGCCGCAGCGAACCGAATGTGTTTTCACTGGTTCTGTACGGGAGGAGGAAGAGGAGGTGGAGGAAGCGACGGAACAAATATGGTGGCGAAGGACCAGTAGTAACGAAAGAAGAGGAACAGCAGAAGGATGGACGCGTGCTGGAGGAAACAGCAACATGCTAGAGCATCAGAAGGTCGGAAGGACGATGAGGGACCTGAGGGGGGGAGGAGGGTTACGAGGAGCCAGGGGGAGGTAGCAACCGCATTGGTGATCCGCGCAGAACACCAGTGCGCCGCATCCTTTCGTAAACGAGGATGTAGGAATGCGCCAGATGGGGAGGTGGGGGGAGCATGGGGGAGGTAGGAGGACATGGGGGTAAGAACGCTCAGGACGAAGCAGTTCCAGAGACGGTGCCCCGGCAAATTGTGTTCATCAGAAACGTGTGCCAGCATGGTGCTCAACCAAGAGGGCGACGCTGTTTACGTTAGAAACGCGAGGACGGCGCAGGAGGAATCGGAGGATTAACAGCAGCGGAGAAGGAGGACAAGGAGGAGGATGACGAGGAAACGGAGGAGGGGCGGGATGAGGACGAGGAGTAGGAAAAGGAAGGATGGGAGAGAAAAAGTCACGACGACGGCCAGAATCAATCATGGAGGATTTTGTTTGTTTTTCGCACACGGCTCTTGTTAGAAGCCCCTTGGAGTGATTTGTGGGCCATTGTGGAGCTAATTTGGAGCCATTTTGGGAGAGCCTACGGGGTCCTCTTGAGGCTGTTTCGGGCCTCCTTGAGATCCTCTTCGGGGTCTCGTGGGCCCGTCTTGGAGGCCTTGGGGGCCCTCTCGGGGCCATCTTGGAAACGCCGTCAGTCAAAGAGTACGGGGGGAGGGTCCTTGCAGCGCCCCCTCTCTGGAGCCGCCCACGTCGCCTCTTGGCGCTCTCTTGGGACGTTCTTCGGCTGCTCTTGAGCGCTCTCGGCGCCGTCTTGGGGCCTGTCGGGTTCTTCTGGAGGGCCATCTCAGGCCAGCGTGGCCATCTTGAGGCCTCAAGAGCCCATGGAAAACGAAAAGGCGGCGAGACAGAACGCATAGCACGCATTGGCGTTCACTTTTTTTGTCTTGGAGGCCTCCTTGGAGAGCTCGAAGGGCACGCGGGGCCGTCTTGAAGCGGTCTTGACGACTCAGAGGCATGTTGGAGGCTCTTCGGAATCGTCCTGGGATGCATTGAGCGATATTGGAGGCGTATCTGGGCTCCTTGCAGCCATCTCGGATACATTTTGGGTCGTATTGGGCGCTCCAACGACCCGCGGCTACCTTCCCGCGCAGGAAGGATTGGGCGGGGAAATGGGGAACCGTGTCTATGAAGGGGAAGAGTGGGCTTGGATGAATTACTTCGTCACGCCGCTCACGCTTAAAGGGGTGCTGGGATTCCTGTCTCCCTCCGGCCCTCTCCTGTGGCGTGCCCCTCCACTCCCTGTGACTTCTCCCCCCCCCCGCCCTCCTTCCAGGCTCCGCGCGCGGCCTAGTGAAAACTTCGGGGAGAAAAACAAAAACTCGTTTTGAATACCTCTCCGAATTCTTGGTGGATTTTTCCTTGGGCGCGCGCATCGAAAAAACACGCGCGGAAAAATCCGGAGGACACCCGGAAAAATTCACGCGGTTTCCGGGGCAAATTCACATTTGGATTTGGAAAAATCCGGGCAGAATTCACTCGAGAATCCGGGATAGTATTCCCAGGCGGCCGTGGAAAAATCCCACCAGCCATGCAGAGCGTGGGTGGTGGTTTAACGGGCTAGCTTATCCGCGCGTTTCTCCCTGGCAGGGACGGGCCCCCCCCCCGCCCCCCCCTGGCAGGGACGTGGACAGAGAGTGACCGCGGGGCGGTGGAGTGCCCGAAATGGCCGAAGATGGCCCCAAAGGAACCGCAGGCGACCCAAGAAGGATTCCGAGATCGCTCCAGATACTTGCAGATGGTACAATTTTGCTTCCAATGCGCCTCCAAGCCCCCTCAAGACCGCTTCGTGACAGCCCACAATTGTCTGTCGAGCTCTTGAGGGAGGCCTCCAACAGGTTCAACTCCTTTACAATCACTGTGCGCTTCAATTTGTTTCTTCTCGCCTTTTTGCTTTCCGTAGTTTCTAGAGGCCTCGAGATGGCTGCGAGTTGGTTTGAACTTGCTTTGAGAGGGGGCCACCAGGGCCCAACTCGGCTCCAAGAGCACCAAAGTTGGGCCCAAAACGCTTCAAGGGCGTCGCATGAGGGCCGCATTTGGCGACTGGGGGGCTCGAGAAAGAATGGGGCGTTGCTAGGGCCCCACTTCTTTGACCGACGGCTTCAAGATGGCCCCAGGAGGACCCCCAAGGCTTCCAAGAGGGACCCAGGAGATCCCCGAAACGACCCGAAGAGGGCCCCATGGGGCTCCAAGACAGCCGCCAAAGGCAGCCAGAATTGCCCTAAGAGAGCGCCGCGGCGGCACTGATATGACGACGTTGATGGGGCGTCCCGCAGGCACCTAAAGCGAACGACTCGAGATCCTCGATGATTGATGCCCGTCGTCGTCAGCGTGTTTTTTTCCTCTCTATCCTTTATATTTCCCTTCCTTGTCCTCCTCCTCCTCGTCCCTCTTCTGTGACCTCCTCCTTTTTTTCTGCTCCCTCCCCGTTCCTGCGCATCTTCCGATTAAGTACTCCTGCGCCCTTTGCTTTTCCCTAATGTAACGGTTGTCCTCGTTTTTTTGTCTTGCGCTGCAAGTTGCTTCACTTCGCTGTCATGCTTAGCGCAACTTTCTTGGGATTCGAGTCTGCAAATGCTTTCTTCTGCATGTTCATGCCCCTCCTATTTCCCCCTACTTCCTCCTGCTCCTTGATCCCCCCACCTCTTCCTACACCCTCGCTGGTGAGGGCGCGCGGCGCACGCGCGTTCCGCACGGATCACTGGCGCGCCTTTTGCCTCCCTCAGGCTTCTTGTGCTTCTTCCTACCTCCCCCAAGCTCCTCTTCCGTATTCCTACCTGCTCATGCTCTTGCGCGTTTCCAGTCTTTCCTATCACCATACTCCCTCTCTTCACCGTGTTCATTATGATTTCCATTTCCGCCCTCCTCTCCTTTGCTCCGCTTCCTGCACCTCATCATCCGCGAATGCGGATGCGGCTCGCTATTTTCGCCGCTTGCCCGATTACCCGGCCTTGATCAGGGCGACTCGCCTTGCGGTTGTTCATGGATTGGCTCGCGAGGATTTGAGCTACGCGTCAATGACTTCACCGTGTTATTGTTGGCGCCTGGGCGTTGCCGCTGGGGTTTGCCACGGGCCAGTATGATTTACAATTGCAGCCGGCGCGTTGGCAGGCATTCGCCTTCCTGGAGACATCTGTCTGGTTTCGCAGTGACCTTCTTTCGCATTGCTCTTGTTTCTTTGCCTCCAGTTTGCGGTTGTATGTTTGTAGCCCTTGGCTGAGCTCCATCAGACGGCTATAATTCCGCTGCCCTCGCTCGATGCATGACCGTCCCCGTGCGATGAGGAAGAATCAAGGGCACTGAAGACATTCGAAATTCGCTGGCCACGCGGCATTCACACGAACGCCCGAGCCACATGATCGATTGACGTGCGCATATCAGAAAAAAAGAAAATAAAAATGAAAAACGAAGACGCCAATCCACGCTGAATTCACTCTTAGCACCGGCGAAACCAACTTGTTGGGCATGGACATGTACAGGTACTGCCGCCAACGGACGGCTCTGCTCGTCACGCCAGGCTGGCGCCTCGAGCGCAGCGCCGCCACTCCCCGCGAGCGTCTCCGGCCTGGCCGCCGTCATTGGATGCGGGGGTGGCGCTGCCTCTGGCGCCGGGCGTTCGAGCGTTCACTTGCGGCCCCGGCCGCGGCCCTGACCGCGGCCGCGGCCCCCGCCTGCGGGGGCCTCGCGCGCCGGGGGCTCGCGGGGCGTCGCATGGCACTCCTTTGGGTGGAACGCCCCGTGGCGCTGGTCCAAGCATTTGGCGCACTGGTGGGCTGCTCTGGGGTCCCTGGCGCATCGGCCGCCCGGCCCGACCTGCGTGCACTGGCCCTTCTGGAAATCAGCGCAGAGCCTGATGTCGCGGCGATTGTGTGTGAAGCAGCCCTCCACGACGCGGTGGCTCTTGTCGAAGCGCGGCTTGACCTTCCGCCCCTCGGAGCCTCTGGCCTGCCCTGCAGGGCGCTTGGCCTGGCGCGCCTCGCCACCGCCTCCCCGGGGGGCGACGCTGGCGCCGGGCGTTCCGCCCACCGGTGCGTCGCCGTCCACGAAGGAGTGCATGGGGCTAATCCGCGACAGGTATAGCTGGCACGGGCGCTCGATCTCCTTAGACCAGAATTTGTCATGGTCCACCATGGCTGCCCATACTGAGTTCCATGGCCTGTCGGGGTCGTACTTCGTAGTGTTCGGTTCCCCACGGGCCGTGACTCTAGCGTATTTCTCCTCCTGGGTGCGCCTGAGCCTCTCCATCTCTTCCAGCCGTGCACGAACGTCGGCTTGGTATATCAGGGCCCAGCACTCCTGACCGTACAGGTCGAAGAACTCTTTGATCTTCTTGCCGTAGTTCAGGAGGTTCCCGAGGTCCACCGCCTTGAACCCGACCATGCCGGTGATGACCAGGCGGTAGCTCTCTTCCCAGGAGTGGAGATTCGCAGGGCCCAGGAGCTCCACTGTCTCCAACACTCCCCCTGCACCGAACCTGGCTCCTGAGAAGCGGATCCGGCGCAGGAGCCGATGGTGGTTCGGACCCCATACTCCAAAGTCCAAGTATGGCGCGCCAGAGCCGGCAAGAATAGACTTCAGGCCTCCAAGCTGGATGGGATTACACTCCTCCCCTGCCGGAGGGTCCTTGTCTCCGAAGACGGCGCGGTAGTTGGCGAAATGATCCTTGACCTCTTCCGGCCCCAAGGGTTGGATGGACCCTTTCCACGTCTGGTTGATGACAGTCTCGAACTCCGCTCCGCCTGGCTTGGCCTGAGGGGCCGTGGCGTGCGAAGAAGCCGCCGCCTGAGCAGCCTGGGCCGCCGTCGCTGCGGCTTGAGCGACTGCGAGGGCATCCGAAAGGCCCCTCTCGGCGGCTGCCTGCTGCTGCTGGCGAGCCTGGTCGGCCGCCTGCTGCTGCTCCTTCATGGGCTTCACGAGGCCGCAGGCTAGCTGCGTGGCGCGGTGGGCGAGCTGTATCGCCTTGACCTGAATGGGGGGTATGATGACGTTGTCCCCCTCCTGTGATGCTTCGTTCAGATAGAAGGCGACGCTCTCGTCCGTCATGGTGCCCAACAGGCGTACGTGCTCGGTGCCGTCGGCCCCCAGCTTCTTCAGGAAGGCATCGAACGGCGCAGACGCTGCGCCTGACCAACGCCCTGCGTCATTGATGGTATTGATGGCCATGAGCTCCTCTGGAGTAGGTTCCATGCCTTCCCGCTCACGACGAATGCTCCCCCAGTGAGGGCCGTATGTTTCAGAACGAGCGTTCGGTAGTCAAAGAACTTCCACGTTGTAACCGCTCCTCGAACCAAAATGGTTACGCGATGGGAAGATCATTGCGAATGACCCGGAGTCGAAACTGTGTATCGCTCCGGGTTGGACTCTATGTCACAATTCCCACCAACCACCGCACTACTTCGGTTGTAAAATCTGCAACATTTGCGAACGCCGAAAATGGCGGAGGTCCGCGCAGATCTCTCGGATCGGCGCCTGACCCCCCTCACTGGCCTTAGGTCGGGCCTGTCCCCCTACAGGCGGATTTTGAAAACAACAAAAAAAACATAAGACATGCTGTAACAATGACCAAACATAGTCAAAAGAGCACGACAGATCTTCACCAGACTATTGTTCCCTACCTAGGCTCTGCCTAGAAGGGTTCTTACTCTGTTGGCTTAAAGGGGCCGGGCAGTGTAAACCGCCCCGGGCGGTTCCCCCAGTCCCATGGGAGCCAAGCAAAAGCAACAGCAAAGGTAAAAGCAAACGCGCGGTTCCCCCAGTTGCGCTCCCTGGGTGCCAAGCAAAAGCAAAAGCAAAGGCAAAAGTGAAGGCAAAAGCGAAGGCAAAGCAAAAACATGGCATAGCATAGCATAGCATAGCATAGCATAGCATAGCATAGCATAGCATAGCATAGCGCAGCATAGCATAGCGCATCATAGCATAGCATAGCATAGCCTAGCCTAGCCTAGCCCAGCATAGCATTGCGCAGCATAACATAGCATAGCATAGCATAGCATAGCATAGCATAGCATAGCAGAGCAGAGCAGAGCAGAGCAGAGCATAGCATAGCATTGCGCAGCACAGCATCCACTATTGCTGCTGCTATATACATATATATATGTATATATATATATATGTGTGTACTTATATGTGTGTGTGCGCACGTATGTTCCAAGCATGTTGTCCGTCTGTGGGCCATCTTGAGCCCTTAGTGGGGCAGCTTGAGCCCTTAGGATTCACGAAGGTTTCGCACATAGCACCGGCCGGGAGACATGAAACCCGATGTAGATGTAGGTGTCGATGTAGATGTAAGTGTATATATAGATGTAGATGTAAAGAACTCCCCAGTGCCCCGCCCTCATCTCCGTGCCTGCTTGCTTTTGCTGCTGTCTCGGCGACTTGCTGCCTGCTTCTGCTGCTGCTTCACTTACGGCGTGGCGTCGGCGGTTCTGGCGCTACTACTACTACTACTACTACTACTACTACTACTACTACTACTACGACTACTACGACTACTACGACTACTACGACTACTACTACTACTACTACTACTACTACTACTACTACTACTACTACTACTACTACTACTACTACTACCGCTACTGCTACAACTACGACGATGAGGAGAAGGTGGAGGACGGCGTTTACCGCTCCTGCTAATGTTGCTTTCCTAGAGGCTCCAATTCCTAGGTAGGGTCGCACTGGGATAATTTTATTCAGTATTCTTGAAAGGGGAATGTGTGGGTGAGATCGCAGTGAAACGGAGACCCCAAACCGGGAAATCGTTTCGTTTCGTTCGTGTAGTGCGTGCGGGCGAGGCGAAGCTGCGTGGGCGCGCGAGAGGAGTGAACCCGCCGTTGCTAGGGCGAAGTCAAGACAAATGATTCTCTCCCGCCCGCCGGTCCGGCGTGGCTCGCGGTGTCCCGCGGTGTCCCGCGGTGTCCCGTGGTGTCCTGTGGTGTCCGCCGTTACTAGGGCGAAATCAAGACAAATGATTCTCCCCCGCCCGCCCGTCCGGAGGTGGCTCGCGGAGTCCCGCGGTGTCCCGTGGTGTCCCGTGGTGTCCCGTGGTGTCCGCCGTTGCTAGGGCGAAGTCAAGACAAATGATTCTCCCCCGCCCGCCCGTCCGTCCGTCCGTCCGGCGGTGGCTCGCGGTGTCCCGCGGTGTCCCGTGGTGTCCCGTGGTGTCCCGTGGTGTCCCATTGAGTGGCATCGATACTGAGATCGATAGTGGGATCGATAGTGAAATCGATAGTGAGATCGATAGTGAGATCGATAGTGAGATCGATAGTGAGCCCCGAGGTGTCCCGTGGTGTCCCGTGTTGTCCCAAAAAGTGAGATCGATAGTGAGATCGATAATGAGATCGACAGGTGCCCCGTTGTGTCCCGTTGTATCCCGTGGTGTCCCGTTCAGTGAGATCGATAGTGAGATCGATACTGAGATCGATGTGGTGCCCCGAAGTGTCTCGTGGTGTCCCGTGGTGTCCCGTTGAGTGACATCGATAGTGAGATCGATAGTGAGATCGACAGGTGTCCCCTGGTGTCCCGTTGAATGAGATCGATAGTGAGATCGATAGTGAGATCGATAGTGAGATCGATAGTGAACCCCGAGGTGTCCCGTGGTGTCCCGTTGCGTGAGATCGATAGTGTGAGATCGATTGTGTCGGATGTTGGTCACCCCCCCCCCTCCCCCCCGCACAACCTCCTCATCGCCCGAAGGCTGGTCGTGTAGGCATTCCTTCAGCAGGGGGACGTGCCCGATTCAGCACTGGCACGCGACGCGCGCCAGATGGGGGGGGCGGGCCGCGGGGGGGGGAGGGGCCGAGCGCCGCTCCCGAACAGCCGCGCGCGGGCATCCAGGGAGCTGGACGAGGGGGTGCGGGGACAAGAACGCGCACGGGGGAAGCGGCGACGAGCCCAGGGGGGGAAGTGAGAAGGATAGGGACGAGGGGGTGCGGGGACAAGAACGCGCACGGGTGAAGCGGCGAACGTGAGCCCAGGGGGAAGTGAGAGGATAAGGACGAGGGGGAAAAGACTGAAAAGAGGAATTCAATGCGTGGACAAGAAGGCGCACTGGGGAAATTGGCGACGAGCCATGGGGGGAGAAGAGGAGGATGGGACGAGTGTGGGCGGGGACAAGAACGCGCACGGGGGAAGCGGCGACGAGCCCAGGGGGGGAAGTGAGAAGGATAGGGACGAGGGGGTGCGGGGACAAGAACGCGCACGGGGGAAGCGGCGACGAGCCCAGGGGGGGAAGTGAGAAGGATAGGGACGAGGGGGTGCGGGGACAAGAACGCGCACGGGGGAAGCGGCGACGAGCCCAGGGGGGGAAGTGAGAAGGATAGGGACGAGGGGGTGCGGGGACAAGAACGCGCACGGGGGAAGCGGAGACGAGCCCAGGGGGGGAAGTGAGAAGGATAGGACGAGGGTGCGGGACAGGACGCGCACCGGGGGAAGCGGCGACGAGCCCAAGGGGGGGAAGTGAGACGGATAGGGACGAGGGGGGCGGGGACAAGACCCCCGCACGGTGGGAGCGGCGACGACCACATGGGGTGAAGTGGAGGATAGGGACAGAGTGGGGGTGCGGGACAAGACTCGCACGGGGGGCGGCGACGATCCCATTGGTGTGGAAGTGGAAGATAGGTACGGGGGGTGCGGGGACAGAGAACGCGCCCGGGGAAGCGGCGACGAAGCCCATGTGGTGAAGTGAGAAGATAGGGACTAGGGTTGCGTTGGACAAGAAACGCGCACGGGGGAAGCGCTTACGAGCCCTGTGGGAAGTGAAGAAGGATAGGGACGAGGGGTTGCGGGTACAGAACGCGCACTGGGAATCGCGACGAGCCCACGTGGGGAATGAGAGGATAGGGAAGTGGAGGTGTCGGGGACAAAGAACGCGCACTGGTGGGGAAGCGCGACGATCCCGGGGGGGAAGTGGGAGTCTAGGGACGATGGGGTGCGGGCGCATAACGCGCACGGGGGAAGCGGCAGGCGAGTCCCAGGGGGGAAGTGAGAAGGAATAGGGACGAGGGGGTGCGGGGACAAGAACGCGCACGGGGGAAGCGGCGACGAGCCCAGGGGGGGAAGTGAGAAGGATAGGGACGAGGGGGTGCGGGGACAAGAACGCGCACGGGGGAAGCGGCGACGAGCCCAGGGGGGGAAGTGAGAAGGATAGGGACGAGGGGGTGCGGGGACAAGAACGCGCACGGGGGAAGCGGCGACGAGCCCAGGGGGGGAAGTGAGAAGGATAGGGACGAGGGGGTGCGGGGACAAGAACGCGCACGGGGGAAGCGGCGACGAGCCCAGGGGGGGAAGTGAGAAGGATAGGGACGAGGGGGTGCGGGGACAAGAACGCGCACGGGGAAGCGGCGACGAGCCAGGGGGGAAGTGAGAAGGACACGGTTTGGCGGCGAGCGAGGGGGGAAAATGAGAAGGAGAAGGCCCTCTCAGCAGGCGGCGGAACTTCTCAGAAACCCTCGCGCCTTCTGGAAAGTTTGCGGCGTCGTCCGGAAAGGCTTAGAAAACTTCTCAGAAGGCCAAAGAACTTCCGAGCCTTCTGAGAAGGCCCGCCCCTTCTCACTTCCCCCCCGGGCTCGCCGCCGAACAGTAGGAGCTCGGCCGTAAGAAACCTGCCATGAGAAACCCAACCCTGAGACCCCAGGACGCCCATCGATGTTTGTGGGAACGTCACGCGTTCCGCAGCGGAACCATCGAAACCCAAGAAACCCAGGGCACCCTGGAGGCAGGCAGGGTGCTTCTTGGCATGGGTTTCCACTGTAATGCCTTGTCAAAGAGCTTGGATACCCCCGGCCTTCTGAGAAGCTTTCGAGGCCTTCGACGAAGATACGGAGAGCTTCTCAGAGGGCCGGAGGACTGCTGAGAACGAGAAGTCCCGCCGCCTTCTGAGAAGGCCTTTTGCTTCTCACTTCCCCCCCCCCACGCGCGCCGCCGAGAGAAGCCAAACGATAGGATACGGGGAAAAAACACTGGTCAAGAGGGGGTGATGTACAAAATGTTTGCTCCGTACACCCATGCCCAGCTTGCACTCATGCCATCGTGTCACCGCCGGAGAACGTGAAAGGAAGGTCAAACTACGGTTGTGGATGGCATGGCAATGGACACTCTAACAATCAGATCATTGCATTTAATATGTGTCTAACATGTGTAAAACATGTTCTACAACTGTTTCAAACATG